CTATTCCGGTGGCTCCCCCAGTTATGAAGGCCACGCGGCCCAGCAGGCAGTCCGCGCGAAATGAAGATCTTTCCGCCATTCTAGGGTTTAGGGTTTAGGGTTTAGGGTTTAGGGTTTAGGGTTTAGGGTTTGGGGTTTGGGGTTTGGTTTGGGGACTAGGGGGTGGGGTGTAGGCGCCGGCGGGAAGGGGGCAGGGATGGGGGATAGGTAAAGGGTAGGGGCTAGGGTTTAGGGTTTAGGGTTTAGGGTTTTGGGTTTAGGGTTTAGGGTTTTGGGCTTACGGGCTAGGGTTTAGTGTTTAGGGTTTGGGGGACGGCGGGCTGGGGCTAGGGTTACGGGTTAGGGACAGTGCTGGGGACTAGGATTTAGGATTTAGGGTTTAGGGTTTAGGGTTTAGGGTTTGGGGTTTAGGGTTTAGCGGTTGGGGGTGGGGACAGGCGGGCGGTTGTGGGGGTCACCGCCGAAAGGGGAACAGCAACTGAGCAGCGAGGGGCTTGGGGATTTAGATGAAAAAAAGGGTTTAGGGTTTAGGGTTTAGGGTTTGAAACTTAGGATTTAGGGTTTAAGGTCCAGGGTTTAGGGTTTAGGGTTTAGGCCCTAGGGTTTGGCGCAGTTTGCAGCAGATAGGCGGCAGGTCCGCCGGTCTTCGACCGTTCACCACTCCACGTGACCCCTAAACCCTAAACCCTAAACCCTAAACCCTAAACCCTAAATTTTAATTTTGCACAGCACAGAAGTGTCTTAAAACTCTTTTTTTTAAGACACCGCGGTTCACAGCAGGCAAACTCTGAGCTGCAGCGTTTTGCAGCGGAAACCCTAAACCCTAAACCCTAAACCCTAAACCTTGAACCCCAAACCCTGAACCCTGAGCGCTAAACCCTAAATCCTGAACCCCAAACCCTACACCTCTAAACTCTAGACACTAGACCCTAAACCCTAAACTCTAAACCCTAAACCCTAAACCCTAATGCACGGCGTCTCCCACCTGAACCCTTAACGGTAAAACTTAGAGCTTCGAGCATAGGAGTCCTGCATAGCGCCTAATCCGAGGACCCTAAACCCTAAACCCTAAACCCTAAACCCTAAACCCTAAACCCTAAACCCTAAACCCTAAACACCAATATGTTTGTCAAACCCTACTCGCAAAACCCTAGATCCTCCTGTTAGTCCCGCCAAACTCTTGGCTTGCAGATCCAAAGCCCTTTAGGGTTTGGCAGGGGTTTAGAGATAGGGCGGAAGGCCAGGAGCGAGGGTCTAGGGTTTGCAAGCTCTAGGCGCCAGAGCTAGGGTTTAGGGTTTAGGGTTTAGGGTTTGGAGCTGGGCTTGAGGGGCTCAGAGTTACAGCCATTTTGCTTTAGAAGCCAGTGGCCCTTCCCTTGGCCACTAAGCCCACAGCTAGCTGTGGCTAGCCACCAGCTAGCCACCAGCTAGCCACCAGCTAGCCACCAGCTAGCTGCAGACTCCGGGCAGCCAGTTGGGGCCTTGCACAGGCCCTGTAGGCCTTCACGGTGCCTAGCTCGATCCCCCGCCGCACCTGTTTAGCTATCTAGCTAGCTAGCCAGCTAGCTAACCAGCTAGCTAGCTGGCTAGCTAACGAGCTATGTCTTGCGGTGGCTAGCTAACGCGCAGCTTCCATATTGAACTAGCAAGCTGGCAAGCTATATAGCTGCTCGGCCAGCTAGTTCACTACTGGAGTACCTGGCTGGCTAGCTAGCTAACTCGCTAGCTAGTGATACGGCTAGCTAGCTAGCTAGCCAGCTAGCTAGCTAGCTAGCTAGCTAGCTAGCTGACTAGTGACGTGGCTAGCTAACGGCTAGCCGTGGGCGCAGTTAGCTGCGCCTACAGCTAGCTCTGCCTGTCTTTGTCTCGAAAAAAAGAAATTGTTTGAACAATTCCTTAAATGGATTAATTCATTTTTGTCCAAAACTCCTAAAAAGAATTCAAAAATCTGCTGCCAGGCTGCAGCAGCACCTCGCAGCCCACAGCCACACGCGGGGGGCCCCTCTCCTGGGGGCCCCCCTAGAGGGCCCCAGAGGGGGGCCCCCTAGAGGGCCCCAGAGGGGGCCCCCTAGAGGGCCCCAAAGGGTCCCCGCACACCACAAGAGCGCCTTACTGGGGCCCCCATAGGACCCCTCAGGGGCCCCTCAGGGGGGCCCCTCTGGGGCTTCTCAGGGGGGCCCCTCCGGGGCCCCCTAAAGGGGGCCCCACAGAAGCCCCGTAGAGGGCCCCCTGGGGGGCCTCAGCGCAGTTCCCTTGAAACCCTTTTTTGCAAATTTTATTTTTGAATTTGTTTTATATTCTTTTCTGAAGACAATCTCTGGGCTTGTGCTTTTATAAAGCTTTTATTTCATTTTCTTTTGCATTTGCATTTCAGACTACACTTGCATTTGGGGGCCCCCAAAGAAGCTCTGAGGGGCCCCAAGGGGGCCCCTCAAAGCTCCTAAGGGGGCCCCCTTGGGGGCCCCTACGGGGGCCCCCAAAAGTCGCTGCACAGGAAAAGCCCTGTAAAAGCCTCACGCATGCAGGAGGCCCCAACAGGGTACTTCGGGCTTATCTTTTCAGCTGCTGCAGCTGCTGCTGCTGTTGCTGCTGCTGCTGCTGCTGCTGCTGCTGCTGCTGTTGCTGCTGCTGCTGCTTTCGTCCTCAATTTGCAGGAGCAGCAGCTAGCTAAGGCCTTTCGCGGTTGTCGTCACTGGTAGGAACCCCGCGAGAAGGCACCTCCCGGCTGCTGCTGCTGCTGCTGCGGGCATTCTTGCTGCTGCTGCTGCTGTTGCGGGCATTTTTGTTGCTGCCGCTGCTGCCGGCATTTTTGCTGCTGCTGCTCCTGTTGCAGGCATTTTTGTTGCTGCTGCTGCTGTTGCGGGAGTTTTTGCTGCTGCTGCTGCTGTTGCGGGAATTTTTGCTGCTGCTGTTGTTGCGGGTATTTGTGCTGCTGCTGCTGCTGCTGCTGCTGCTGCTGCTGCTGCTGCTGTTGAGGCCTCCATCCTCGTGGCCCCACATCCCCGACAGCGCTGCAGGGCCCCCTTCCAGAGCATTACCTTCTGAAGTGTTGAAAGTACCTTCGCGCTGCTTTTCTTGGTCTTCTTGGGGGCCCCCTTGGCTGTTGTGGGGCCCCAGGGGGCCCCAGGGGGCCCCCGGGGCCCCCAATGGGGGGGCCCCCACGAGGCCCTCCTGATCTTCTTCAATCCGGCGCGCCTGCCGCAGAAAGTAAGCAGCCAAAGCTGGCCAGGCAGCATCCGCAGGGGGCCCCTTAGAAGTGGGTCCCTCTGGGTTTGGTGGGGGGCCCCCCTGAGGGGCCCCCCCCGTGGGGGCCCCCACGGAAGGGGAGTTCGTGGGGGCCCCTGCTGCGCTTTCAGGGCCATTTGGGGGCCCCTCTGGTACCTGTGAAGCCCCTTGCGCTTCTGCCTCTGCGGAGTCCCCTGGGGGGCCCCCTTCAGGGGCCCCCTCGGAGGCCTCTTGGGGGCCCCCCCCCGCTTGAGACCCTCCTTCGTGGGGGCCCCCCGTAGCCTCAGCATTATCATTGGGGGCCCCCGTAGCCTCAGCCTTATCACTGGGGGCCCCCGTAGTCTCAGCCTTATCACTGGGGGCCCCCGTAGTCTTATCAGTGGGGCCCCCCGCAGTCTCAGCCTTATCACTGGGGGCCCCCGTGGTCTCAGTCTTATCAGTGGGGCCCCCCGTAGTGTCCGCCGTGTCAGTGGGGCCCCCCTCGTTTGCTGTGGGTTCCTTGGGGCCCCCCTCGGGCTCGCCTGGGGGCCCCCCCTTTCCCTTTTTCCGGGGGCCCCCCTTGGCGGGTTTTTTGGAAGCTGCTTTGGGCTGCTGCCGCAGCAAAAGGTCCCGCAGCCGCGGAGGCTTCCTGGAGGGGCCCCCGGGGGCCCCCCTGGCAGCAAGTGCAGCGCGAGCGAGGCCCCTCCTGCAGTGCCGGTTGGGGAGGGGGGCCCCCCCACCGGGGGGCCCCCTGAGGGGCTCCAGGGTGCTCAAGGCCTGGAGGAGGTGGGGGTCCGGGGGCCTCTCGTGTTCACTTGCTGCTGCTGCTGCCGCTTCCCAGTCCGCTCCCGCAGCAGCAGCAGCAGCAGCAGCAGCATCAGCAGCAGCAGCAGCTGCTGCGCCTGCCTGCTGCTCCCCGCCGCCCGCAGCCCCCGCCCGCAGCTGGAGGCCCCCCTCCCCCTCCCCCCCCTCCGCAGCAGCAGCAGCAGCAGCAGCAGCAGCAGCAGCAGCAGGGGGGCCCCGCTGCTGCTTGCGGGCCGCGTAGAGGCAGTGCTCTATGGCCGCGCGGGGCGGCGCAGCAGCAAGGGGGGGGGCCCCCTCGCGGGCCAACTGCAGCGCCAAGTCCGGGGACTGGAAGCAAAGAGAAAGGGCCCCCGGAGAGAGGTAAGAGTGTCTCCAAATGAAGTCTTTTGCTGCAGCAGGAGTCTTGTAGCTGCGGCCCCGCGCGGCCCAGCAGGCCCCCGAGTGGGGGCCCCCCCAAATAACAACAACCCCACCCTTTTTCAAGTACTGCACCTTCACTTCTGCGGGGCAGCGGCAGTGCGGCACCACGCGCATCTCCCGCACGCGCGCGGCCCGCCGCCGCGCGTACGCGGCCGCCGCGCACGGGCTCGCTGCTGCTGCTGCTGCTGCTGCTGCTGCTGCTGCTGCTGCTGCTGCTGCGGGGGGCCCCCGCCGGGGGCCCCCGCCGCCTGGAGAGTCCCCTTGGGCTTGTTGCTGCTGCCCAGCATGAGGGCCCTTTCTCCCGCGAGCAGCGCAATTGCTGCTTTAAGTGTCTCCGTTTCTTTTTCCAAACTTTCCAAAGATTCCATTTTTCTTTTTCTTTTTTTCGCCAAGTCCTCTCCTGCTGCTTCTTTTCTTTTCTTTTCTTCCCGGTACTTCACCCGCCGCCGCAGCTTCTGCAGCTTCTCCTGCAGCACAAACAGCTGGCTTTCCAGGGGCCCCACGACCAGGGGCCCCCCGGGGGGCCCCCAGGGAGGCCCCACTGCCCCGGGGGGCCCCGGGGGGGCCCCCACAGGCCCTGCCAGCGCCAAGGGAGCCTCTGGGGGGCCCCCTGAACCCTCTGCCGCCTGCGCCGGGGGGGCCCCCTCCACGGCGGGGGGCCCCTCGGGGGGGGCCCCCAGGGGGGCCCCCGGGGGGGCCCCCGCCAGGGGGGCCCCCAGGGGAGGGGCCCCCGCCAGGGGGGCCCCCGCCAGCAAACGGGACTTGTACTTTCTGTAAGAGGCGAAGTCCTCAGGGTTTCTCCAGTGTTTGCATTTGTAGGTGGCGATAGAAATTAGGGTTTCGTGTTGGGGAGGGTTTGCGGACTGCTGCCTAGGGTTTAGGGTTTTGTCCAAACCCTTTTTTGGGGTTTTGGGCTTGTGGGTGCGGGCCAAGACGTAAAAGAAATTCCCATTCTTCTTCTGCTCCGCCATCCACTCCTTCAAAGCCGCCACCGTCGGAAACCGCAGCTGCCCGCAAACCCTAAACCCTAAACCCTAAACCCTAAACCCTAAACCCTAAACCCTTCACAGGAAGTTCCTGCCGCTGCGGTGCTCGAGGGTGTTGAGCTAGAGTTTAGATCTCCACAGAAGGTACACGACTTACGACGAGGGTTTAGGGTTTACAGAGAGGGTTTAAGGCGAGGGTTTAGGGTTTGGAAAGGGGGATTAGGGTTTAGGGTTTAGAGCGAGGGTTTAGGGCTAGACGAAATGATGAGGCAAATGAAGATGGGTTCAAGAGCTGGGCCTTGGGCTTCAAGGCATAGGGCTTAGGGTTTAGGGTTTAGGAATTAGGGTTTACGCCTTGAGACTTAGGGTTTAGGGTTTAGGGTTTAGGGTTTTGGGGCGGACTTCCTTTGGAGACACCTGAATGGCCTCTTCAGAGACCGGCTGCTCTGCAGCTTCCTCCATTGTGACGCTGCTGCTGCTGCTCTTGCTGCTGCTGCTGCTGTTGCTGTTGCTGCTGCTGCTGTTGCTGTTGCTGCTGCTGCTGTTGCTGCTGTTGCTGCTGCGCTTCCTGCTGCTGCGACCCTGCTTAGGCTGCAGCGACAGAGGCCCGGACAAGCTCTTGCGTCTCGTGCGGAAGGTTCCAAACCCTAGACCCTAAACCCTAAACCCTAAACCCTAAACCCTAATTTTGCGCTAATGAACCATAGAAAGGAAGATGCAGAGCTCTGTCTTCGAAAGCTTCACGCGCTGGGCTCCCCGGACCGTCATAGACGGCCTAGGGTTTAGGGTTTAGGGTTTAGGGTTTAGGTCAAGGAAGGGCATTTCTCGGTTTGTCCATTTATGTTAAACATTTGAAAAAATGCAAAACCTGGCAAGGGTTTAGGTTTCAGGTCTTGCCTTTTAGGATTTAGGGTTTAGGGCTTAGGGTTTATGGCTAGGGTTTAGGGTTTGGCGGGTGTCGATTGCTGGGCCATGCCCACATGCTTTCTTGAATGAGGCATCTGCAATCTAAACCCTAAACCCTAAACCCTAATTCCTAAATCCTAAATTATAATATTTAATTTTCCGGAATAAACTTGAAAGCACCAGATAAACCCCAAACCCTAAACGCTAAACCCTAAACCCTGAACCTGCCTAAGGGGAGCAGTCCGCCCCTGTGCCTTGAGCGCGCAAGCCGGAGCCCCCGAACCCTAAACCCTAAACCCTAAACCCTAACCTCTAAACCCTAAACCCTAAACCCTTAACTCCAAGGATCCTCTTTAAAAGCAATGGATTAAACTTTGCTCCACAAAACTCGCCGGGGATGCCCATTGGTTGAGGTGTGCAAACGCTGCGGCAGCAGCAGCAGCAGCAGCAGCAGCAGCAGCAGCAGCAGCCTCACAGCAGCAGGAGCACCGGAGCAGCAGCCATCCCAGACGTTGCTGCAGCAGGAGCAGCAACACAAGCAACAGCAGCGCAGCAGCAAAGCAACCAGCAGCAGCAGCAGCAGCCACAGCAGCAGCAGCAACAGCCAAAGCAGCAGCAGCAGCAAAAAACCCAGCCTACTCTCTATATGGCCGTAGGGGGCCTTCCACAGACTGGGGGCCCCTCATGGGGGCCCCCAGCCACCCCCAGGGGCCCCCGGAGGCCCCAGGGGCCCCAGGGGGCCCCTGGAAAGCTGAAGGCCCCGGGGGCCCCAGGGGGCCCCGGGGCCCCTGTGGGGCCCCCTTTGGTATTTGGGTACCCAAGGGAAGTATCTCATGAAGAGTTATTTCATTGTCATAGGTGGTTTGGGGCCCCCGCAGCAGCAGCAGCAGCAGCAGCAGGTAAAAAGGCGTCAGCAGCAGCAGCAGCAGCAGCAGCAGCAAGGGAGTGGCTTCCTCCCCGTCTGATACGTTGCAGAGACACCGCAGCAGTGCTGCTGCAGCAGCAGCAGCTGCAGCAGCAGGGCTGGGACATCAGCAGCAGCAGAGCGCAGCAAGAGCTGTTTGCTGCAGCAGCAGACAGCAACAGGGGGGCGCTATGGGGCCCCTACATACCTGCGCCGCACTTGCACTACGCCCCTAGCAGCAGCAGCAGCAGCAGCAGCAGCAGCAGCAGCAGCAGCAGCAGCAGCAGCAGCTGCAGCAGCAGAAGCAACTTCGTGGCTTATATGCTGCCGCTGAGGGCAAACGAATGGGTGGCGGTCCGCAGGGCGGTTTGGTTCAGAGTTTTGAGGTGAAGCCCTAAACCCTAAACCCTAAACCCTAAACCCTAAACCCTAATTTCTCTTCTGCTGCTAGGCCGCAGCTTTTGCTTGACGTAGAACAGCTACTTTCTGAGGTCCCAGTGCATCTAAGAAGCCTCCCCCTCAGCCTAATATCGCTGCTGCTGCTGCTGTGGCTGCTGCTGCTGCCCTTGCTGCTGCTGCTGCTGCTGCTGCTGCTGCTGCTGCTGCTGCTCTCAGGGGCCTGGCTGAGTGTCGGGGCCATTTGTTTCCCCCAAGTGTCTCTTACAGCTTAGTGGCTGCTGAGGGCCCGGCGGCTCCAAGTGCCTCCTCGTGGGCCCCCACCCGCAGCAGCAGCAGCAGCAGCAGCAGCAGCAGCAGCAGCGGCAGCAGCAGCAGCTGCTGCAGCAGCGACTTGCGCAGCGGCACTGTTGCTGCTGGGGCTCCCGGCATCCGCATCACTGCGCTGCCCGGGCCTGAGATCTTCGGAGACCTTCCCCAGCAGCAGCAGCAGCAGCAGCAGCAGCAGCAGCAGCAGCAGCAGCAGCAAGACGCTGCAGTTGCTGCTGCGTTCCTGGAGGACTTCACCTCCGCTCGTTTTGCTGCTCTTGCTTTTCTGGACAGTTTTGACTGTGGAAGGTGAGGGTTTTGTTTTATTTGTTTTTATATTTTATTTGTTTTTATATTTTTGCAATTTTTAAATTGTTTTTATCATTTAAATTGTTCCTTTTGCTGCTCCCTTGCTGCTGCTTCGTGCTGCTTTGCTGCTGCTGCTTCGTCTTTTCTTGTTACAATTTGCTTCCAGTTTAATCCATTTCTTTGCTGCTGCTGCATCAGCTGCTGCTGTTTCTTTTCAATTGCTGCTGCTGCTTTCTTTTGCTGCTTTCCTCCGAAATCCGAGCCTTTTGCTGCACCCACAAATAGATCTGCAGCAGCAGCAGCAGCAGCAGCAGCAGCAGCAGCAGCAGCATAGGTGCATGCGGTGTGGGGCTGCTGCTGCAGGCACTTGGGCTGTATAGACTCTTCGGGGGGCCCCCAGGGGCCCCTCGCCTCTTCGGGGGCCCCTGCTGCGCTGCGGCTGCTGCAGCTGGATAACAGGCTGCAGCAAAACTCTTTGGTGCCACAAGAAGTGCAGCAGCAGCTCGATGCGATAGATGAAGAGGTTTGCTGCTGCTGCTGCTGCTGCTGCTGCTGCTGCTGCTGCGGCTGCTGCGGTGGCTGCGGCTGCTGCGGATTCGCTGTGGTGGCTGGTCTGCTGCCTTTTTTGCTGCTGCTGCGGCTGCTGCTGCTGCTGCTGCCTCTTATGCTGCGCCGCTGCTGTTGCTGCTGCTGCTGCCTCTTATGCTGCACCGCTGCTGTTGCTGCTGCTGCTGCCTCTTATGCTGCGCCGCTGCTGTTGCTGCTGCTGCTGCTGCTGCTGCAGGAGTTTCCTGTGGTGCTGCTGCTATGTGAAGTGCGGCTGCCCTGGGATCGGATCCCACTGCAGCAAGCTTTACGCGCTGCTGCTGCTCCTGCTGCTTTGCTGCTGGAGGCCCCAACTCCCCTTGAAGTTGTTCCGCCCATCTGGTGCCAATAAACCCTAAACCCTAAACCCTAAACCCTAAACCCTAGTTCCCCACGAAAGGGTCCCTATGCAGATGCAGCTGCGCTTCGGAGATGCTGAAGCAAAGCAGCACGTGCAACTCAGAATGAATATGTTTTTTGCTGCTGCTGCTGTTGCTCTTGCTGCTGCTGCTGCTGCCGTGCTTCTTGCTGCTGCTGCTGCTGCTGCTGCTGCTGCAGGTGGGCCGTGGCTTCCCAGCTGATGCGTCTGTTCACCCGCATTAAAGCCAGTAGGCGAGACCCAGATGCAGCAGTAGCAGCAGCAGAGAGCAGCAGCAGCAGCAGTTGCTGCTGCTGCTGCTGCTGCTGCTGCTGCTGCAGGCAGCTGCAGCCCACAGTGGTACTCTGGGGCGGCAAAGGGAGCGGCAAGTCCTCTTTGGTTTCTTTTCTGATGAACTATTGCCTTAACTTCTTCCCCAAAGTAGGGTTTAGGGTTAAGGGTTTAGGGTTTAGGGTTTAGGATTTAGGGTTTAGGGTTTGAGGTCAAGGGTTTAAGGTTCAGGCTCTGCTGTGGGGTTTAAAGTTGGGGCGCTTTTTAATCTTGAGCAGAAGCAACAGCAGCAGCAGCAGCAGGAGTGGCAGCAGCAGCGGCAGCTATCGTAGCAATGGCAGCAGCCACAGGAACAGCAACACCGGCAGCAGCAGCAGCAGCAGCAGCAGCAGCAGCAGCAGCAAGTTGTGCTGCGCCGCAGGTGTATCTGCTGGACGCCGATGTGGGGCAGCCGATTTGCTGCGCCCCTGGCAGTGTCTCTCTTCTCTCCGTGAGCAGCAGCAGCAGCAGCAGCAGCAGCGAAGCCAATTAGTCCCTTTTGCTGCTGCAGTCTCTTCGCTTTTGTCTCTCTGCTGCTGCTTCTGCTGCTGCTGCTGCTACTGCTGCTGCTGCTGCTACTGCTGCTGCTGCTGCTACGGACCGAGATGCCTACAAAGCCTTCTTTGTCTGTGCATGCATTGCGCGTGGTGCATTTTGCATTTCATATATATATAATTGCTTTTGTTATGAAGCGCATGCTGCTGCTGCTGCTGCTGCTGCTGCTGCTGCTGCTGCTGCTGCTGCTGCTGCTGCTGCAGGTCATTTCCAGTGTTTGTGTTGACGCATGCCCTCTGGCTTTTCTCCTCAGGTCTCTTCTCCCCTCCTGACGCCTCCCCACCTTCTTATAAATTCCGTGCAGTCCCAAGGGGGCCCCCAGGGGGCCCCTGTAGGGGCCCCCCAAGGGGGCCCCCCAGGGGGCCCCCAGGGGGCCCCTGAGGGGTGCACCACAGGGGCCCCTGAAGAACCCAACAAGTCACTTTTAGGGGGCCCTCAGGGGCCCCCCAGAGACGCTCCTTCCTGTCCCCTCATGGCGGCCCCCCCAGAGGGGGCCCCTCCTTTGGGGGCCCCTAAGGGGGCCCCTGGGGGGGCCCCTAAGGGGGCCCCT